TTTTTAAAAAAAAAAAAAGGTATTCTTCATTACTTTTGCTATTGCCTATATTAGACTGACTCCTGGCAAGAAAAAGATGGCACATGCAAAGGGTTTAATTAGGAGAGTGTAATAAAAAGGATATTTGCTGAGGTGTAGGCAAAGAGCAAGAGATGGCGAAGTACCAGAGACGAGCTACAAAGGGAAGCTAGAGAACGCTCAGGGTCATGGAAGAGGACCCACCCATCAGGAGCTGTAACCACAGAATGCAGCTACTGTCACGTCATGCTGATGTGGGAAGGGGGCATGGGGAATATTACCATAACCTCTCTCTCCTCCTCTCCTCTGATCTCCTTGCCTTTGCCTCCCATTGGCTAAGTCCAATCAGAGACCAAAGGACATGGGAGCCCCAGTGAAACAGTCCATAGAGATCAGCCTCCCAGGACACAGAGAAGGACAGAGAATGGATCCAACAGAGGGAGGTGGGCACATGGAGAAAAACCACCGTATTGCTTTTATGTGGCCACCCATCCTCATGATAAGTTCATACCCCTTAGCATGCCGGTAAAGGGTTGACATGATCAGACCCTTACCTACCTCTTCAGCCTCAATTCTCACCATGCTAACTCCTTCCCTATCCTATTTCAATACCTTTGCACCCAATGCAGTTCCCCAGCAGCTCTTAATTTGCTGTTTCCTGTGCTTAGAACGCCCATCCCCCTTTCCTCGTCTACTCATTCTCACCCTTCAGGTTCAAGTTAAACATCACCTTCTCTCATAGAAACTAGTTGCAACAGGTGATCCTGGATTGGATCTGAGACCATGATGATGATCGTGGTGACAGTGATGATGATGATGATGATTTTTTATAAAGAACATTATTGGGAGAATTGGCAGGATTTGATAGATTAGATAATAATATTATATCAATGTTAATTTCTTGGTTTTGATAGTCATACTGTGTTCATGTAAGAGAACACCCCTTCCCTTTTGAAATATAGATTGAAGTGTTTAGGAATAAAGGGGCACCATGTCTGCA